AAAAGAAAAGAAAAGAAACTATCAATTGTTTTTTCAAAAGGAATCAAAAGGCATGAAATTTTATCTTCATTACCTTTGCACCCTTGGGGAGATTGTAGTAAGAGAATTTGCCCTCAAGTCTATACTCATGCATGACCCAATTAGATTTCTCCCCTTTTGGAGCTCTCCCTTTGTAGAAGACAAGAGTCTTCTTCATCCCAACCAGGCAGCCTTTTCCCTTGAAGATCTCTTTATCTTTTCCGGTGGCCTTCCAGTATCCGGCCTCCGTCGCCCGGTTTGTCCTCATCCCTGTTGGATACTTCCTATCTCTCAGGCAAAAGAAATACCATTCTTTTTCACCCATCTTAGCTTTCTCTGCAAAAATTGAAGAAAAATAATGATTAGAAGCAACATCAAACCTAGAACTGGCAAAATTGAATACTCCAAAAGCAAAGAAACAAAAACAAGCAACTATATAACTTCCTTGAATCAAAATCTGAAGAGAAAAACTAAAGGGGGAAAAGATACAGAAATCAAATCAAGAGAAATAAGCTTACTGGGTAAATCCCAAGGTTCACACTTGTTCAAATCAACCTCACCAATAGCACTTGCACTGAATCTGTTATTCATTACCTTGGGAGTAAGATAATGAGTTATGATCTCCTCATCTGTGGGGTGGAATCGAAACCCCGGCGGTAGATCGATGATGTCTTCTCCTTTGTTAAGAACAACGGCCTGATCTTCCATATCTACAAAGGATGATGGAATTCAAGACAAAAGCCCCAAACCCAGATGCTAAAATATGTATGTACGTATGAAGAAGAAGGTATGGAAAGGTGTATATATATACGCGGAAGAATGGAATTAATAGTGCTAAAAAAGATAGGAAGAGGAAGGAAATCTGAAGGTGCAGGGGGTGGTTAACAAAGTAGAACAAAGGGGAAAAGGTGCGCTTAAATAGATGGTAGATCCGTAAGCTGCAAGGCAACTTGTTGAAGAAGCCTGACTAAGAATATTCAATGGCATTTTGTTTGTTTCTATTAAAATATATACAGTAAATTCTCAAGGTTTCAATTATTGGAAACAACTGTTCCCTTGAAGGTATTGAGTTTAAAGTGTTAATGTTAAACTTTAAAAAATTTAATTTTTGATTGGTTAAGTTATTAGAAATAATTAATAATTATAATTATTAATTTGATAATTTATAGTTAATAAAATAATTGATATGTATTATTTAAGTTGATATTTCTAATTATACACTTTAATTACCGTTTAAATTAAAAAGAAAATCATATATAAATAAATTAGTTTTGAAATATATAAAAATTAAAGAATTTTCTAACTTGTACCTTAAAGGTATAAGTTAAGTATGTATTAAATATACTTTTTTATCATAAATATATATAAAAAAATAAAAAAGTTGATATTAATTTTAGTATTAGGTAAATTTAATTAGATAATTAATAAATTAAAAATTAACTTTTAAGGTTTCAATATAAATTTATGACAAAAAAAATGTATTTAATATATTTTTAATCTGTATTTTAAAAATATAAATTAAACAAATCCAAAAATTAATTTGAAAACAGCTTGAGTTTTGAAACTAAAAGGATAAATTATCTGTCATGTGGGTCATGTGTTTCTCTAGCTTCCTTGGCCGCATCCATCTGTTTGAAAAATGATGTGAAAAAAAAAAAAAATAGCAATGCTAAAAAGATGGGTTACAAACTTTCAATGGAGGACCCAGATTTCCAGCTCTCTTTCACATTAAAATATTTCTTTTTACATGTGCTTAGATTCTTAATTATCATCAGAGCTTTTGAAAAAAGAAAAGTTAAACTTTACATTAAATTTCACAATCTAGAATTGTTGATGCCTTTTTCTAATATATGAAATTTCTGATGTCAAATTATTTTGAATTGCAGCTAATTTTCACATGGGATTTTTGGTTTTGGCTTAGCTGGCTAGGCTAGGCTAGGCGGATTCAAATTCATATGGACCTTCCCAAGCTGGTACGTAATGGTGAAAATGTATGTACACTATATATATTATATAGTATATTAATAATTAATTAATTCAATTAGTACTATATACGAGTATTCTTACATGACTTTATTAGAGTTGGGAATAAAGGGATAATTCACTTCATTTGGATGGAATCTGGGGAACTATAGAAATTAAACTCCCAAATTAAAAAGTCAAATAGTTGAAGAAAAGGGGATTGAGATTTCAAAGAAATTTCTTAGATGCTTGCAAGGTCTTGTACAAAGTAAGTGTTCGGATTATGTATTCTAGAAAAAGAGGATAAATATATGTTACAAACTTATTTCTAAAAAAATTCACTCTTTACCCTATTGTTTTTGCAATTTTTTTACTGAAAATAAATATAATAATATAAGTGAATTTTTAAATAAAAAAATAATTATAGTATAACATGTTATAATTGTAAATTTATATTAATTCATGACATTTTAACTATATTATTTTCATTTTCTAAAAATTACTTACCAAGGGATTGCTTTTTTCTTTACCATTAAGATATCTATAGCCTTCTTGCATGTAGCTTGGAACTAATAGGTGCTTCCTAAACGATTTTAAGAGCATAATTCATATTGGTTTAATACGGTAAAAATAAATAAATAACTACATATATTTTTTATAATTTTAACCAAGAATTAGTTTAGATGGGTACACATGTGATTTATAGTAAAATACTAACAACACTGATGTCATCGCATACAAAGAGAATGGATTGGACAAATGGGAAACTGATCCATTAATTGTCATTCTCCAAAACGGAAAATACTTATCCATAACCAAATTAAATGGAAAATCAAAATCAAAGGAATTTGTCATTGTCATTTTGTCATAGTGATTACCGATTCCTTCAAAGATATTGTATGTGAAAATTTCCAGTTTAATAATTTTCCTACACTTAAATCATAAACATTAATGTGGTAAAAAGAATGAAATAAAATCGCAAGGTCAAGCCACAATCCACAAAACCACATGCTTCCAAATGACTGGCAGAGGCCGAACTGCATGCCAACGCCCCCCGGGTAGATAGAAAATTATTCAACATGCCGGGCGCCAACAATTTGAAAAAAAAAAAAATTGAAAACTAACCCATTAATTAATTCAAAAACCTTGAAAAAAATGTTTTTTTTTTTAATAAAAATAACAGTTTCAATTCAAACTCTTCTAAGCTGCATTTGCAGAGAAATTGTACACTTCTCCTCAACAAACCCTAACCAAACTACGGACTTAAATCAGATGCCGCTGTCATATAACAATGTCATATAAATACGCGCTCTTCTCGTACACGTTCTTCTTGTGTAACAAAGTATTCAGTTGCAAAGTTTTACTAGACATTAAGTTTTGTTGTTGTTGTTGTTTTTTTTTTTTTTTTTTAATTATTATTATTGAATTTTTCTAACCGATGTCTTTATGTTAAAAGTATTTTTTATAATAAATATGTATAGAAAAATATAAAAATTAATTTTAATTTGTCAAAAAATAACTATTAACTGTTTATTAATTATTAATTATTTTTAACAATCAAATTAAGATAAAAGTTTCAAAACTTTAATAATTTTAACAAAAATAATGGTGACTATAGCGTAGTCTCATAGAGGGTTATAAATTAAATCAAAGCATTTATGGTATAAAATGCTGGGATGAGGAGGAAGAAATCCTCATAATTGCTAGCAATCCAAAGATCAAACTTGTTCCTTGGTTACAGAATCAACTTCTGTGTCAAGCCGTTGAAAGATTTCACCAGTGCCATGTTTTCACCATCTTCAAGTACTATGTATATGCCACTAGATTGAGACAGCTGGCTGCTCATCACCTAATAAAGCGCCTCGTCCACAATTTTCAAGCAAACTTGCAATGGATAAACAAATGATCTGCGTTCTCATCAAACTCACCTCAAAGCCCAGACGATCCAGAATTTGCAATGGCAGCTAAACCCCTTTTCAATAATTAAATTGCTGTTGGTAGAAATTCTATGATGTTATAATTGCCAACCGAACGCACAGACTAGTGTTGGGACAAAACTATTCCACTGTCTTTTGTAAACCTCAGAAAGGGAGATAATAAAACTTGAGCGTAGGGATTAACGTATTTTGAGAAAAGAAATTAAGACTATTTAATTCTTTTACTATAATACTTTATTAAAATAACACAATTTTAATATGTTTTATCACTTAATTTTTCTAGTTTTAACTACTAAATACCGATTTTTCCTTAGATTTAGAAAAATGATATAATTATAAGATATTATAAATTTACAATATGATATATATTATTAGGGAAAAGTATATATTAGTCTTGATTTCCAAAAATATTTGAAGTTTTAATCTTAAATTACGTCGTTTTATTAAATTAAAACTCAATTCAAAATTTAAAAAATTATCTTATTAAATGTTGATATATTAAAATATATAAT